GGAGGGTCAAAGGGGGACCCACGACCCCAGCCTTTTCCTCTGGCCCCCGGCGCCCGGCCACACCCTGTCTGCCTCTCCCTCCCATGTACACTTGGGCCTTTTGTGCCAGGAGTGCGGGGGCGGGGGGGGGCACAGAGGATTATTGAGGAGCTACAGTTCAGCCCCAGTTCCTGCAACGCCCCCTAACGTTTACACGTGGGGTCCCCTGGTGGCACACAGCCTCCTCTGCACCTGCCCCCACCTGGCATCAGCTGTACCCTCCAGGTCTGGCACAGCTGTGTCTTCTCCCTGGAAACCACCCCCTTTCCTGGCTCAGGCCTCTCTGGAGAAGCCTCCAAATGCCCCTCCACACCCCCTGCCCCTAGATCTGCCCCCCCCCCCATCTGTCCAGTTCAGAAATGGCTGTGCACTGGAGGCCCCACCCTGTGCAGAGAAGGAAGGCGCTCCTGGCACTGAGCGGGCACACGGGTGCCCGTGCTGGGAGTGCTAAGGCCAGTGGGCAGGTGCAGAGGGTTCTGTCCTGCAAAGGCCTGGGCTCCCAGCTGGGCTCACTCTCCTCCGGGCCCCTCCCCCTGTGGCTACTGTTGCAGGAAGCGGCGCCTGGGCAGCAGTCTCGGTGCTGGGTGGAGGGAGGGTGGTGGCTGGCAGGGGCCTCGACCAGGAATGTGTGTCCAGGAATGCGGCTGCTCTGCCCATAGGGGGTGGCGGACAGGATGGGGGTAACTGGGGGGTCTTTGCATGCCTTTAGGCAGCATGCAGTGGCCTCTGCCTCCCCTTGGAGGGCTTGGCGGGGTCTTCCCTGCCTGTGGCTGCCCATTTTTGCTTAAGGCCCTGCCAGGGGAGGGAGCCCACGCGATGAGCTCACCCTTGTCTGTGGCTCCAGAGCCTTGGCCAGGGAATCCGGGGGGGCTCAGGGTCGGCACCACTTCAGTGGAAAATGTGAGGTGCAGCTCCGGAGCCTCTGGGCTGAAGGGGGGCAGCCTGGCCCCTGTGCCACGTCACGCCCAGGGCAGGCACGTGTCGGGGTGCCTGGTCCTGCCTTGAGGCCTGTCCCCTGGCTCTCGCCCCCCCCACCCCCCGTCTCTGAGGGGCTTGAAAAGGGCGGGGGAAGTGGCACGATGGCTTTGCAGTGCTGACCTGCTGCCTGCTGCCCTAGGACGTGCGGAACACGGTGGGCAACGTGCCCCTGCAGTGGTACGATGACTTCCCACACGTGGGCTATGACCTGGATGGCAGGCGCATCTATAAGCCCGTGCGAACCCGCGATGAGCTGGACCAGTTTCTGGATAAGATGGATGACCCTGATTACTGGTGAGCCTGGGGGGCAGGATGGGTAATGAGGGATGGGGGCTGGGAGCTGGGCTCTGATGGGTGGTCCCCCAGGCGCACAGTGCAGGACCGGATGACGGGGCACGACGTGCGGCTGACAGATGAGCAGGTGGCCCTGGTACAGCGGCTGCAGAGGGGCCAGTTTGGGGATGCGAGCTTTGACCCGTATGAGGTAGGTGGCTGTGGCTGGCCCCGGGGCTGGGACACTGCAGGGACCTGGCCACAGCCTGTGCTCGTCTCCCCAGCCGGCTGTGGACTTCTTCAGTGGGGACCTCATGATCCACCCTGTGACCAACCGCCCCGCCGACAAGCGCAGCTTCATCCCGTCCCTGGTGGAGAAGGAAAAGGTGGGTGCCCTCCTCCAGGTGCGGCCACACTGCCTGCCCTGCCCTGCCCTGACCACATCTGTCTGCAGGTGTCGCGCATGGTGCACGCGATCAAGATGGGCTGGATCCAGCCTCGCCGGCCCCGTGACCCTGCCCCCAGCTTCTATGACCTATGGGCTCAGGAGGACCCCAATGCCGTGCTGGGACGTCACAAGATGCATGTGCCGGCGCCCAAGCTGGCCCTACCGGGCCATGCCGAGTCCTACAACCCGCCCCCCGAATACCTGCCCAGCGAGGAGGAGGTGGGTCTGGCTCAGGTGGGGTTTGTGTGTCCTGGGCCCTGGCCCCAGCTCACCCCCCTCTCTGTGTCCACAGAGCCTGGCCTGGGAGCAGCAGGAGCCCAGTGAGCGGAAGCTCAACTTCCTGCCACGCAAGTTCCCAAGCCTCCGAGCCGTGCCCGCCTATGGCCGCTTCATCCATGAGCGCTTTGAGCGCTGCCTGGATCTCTATCTGTGCCCGCGGCAGCGCAAGATGAGGGTACACGGCGGCAGGATTCTTGGGTGGGGGCGTCTGGGGAGGGGAGGGACACAAGATGACCGCGTGCTTCCCTGCCTCAGGTGAATGTGGACCCTGAAGACCTCATCCCCAAACTGCCTCGCCCCCGGGACCTGCAGCCTTTCCCCACATGCCAGGCCCTGGTAAGCAGGGGGCGGGGGGAGCACACTCCTGGGAGCTGTCCATGTCCTCACTGCCCCTTCTCTGCAGGTCTACAGGGGCCACAACGACCTCGTCCGCTGCCTGAGTGTCTCCCCAGGGGGCCAGTGGCTGGCTTCAGGTGGGCCTAAAGTGGGGGAACCCCAACATGGGGGCCTGGTTGGGAGGGTGGGTGCTGAGGGCCTATCTGCTGTGTCCAGGCTCAGATGATGGCTCCGTGCGGCTCTGGGAGGTAGCTACTGCCCGCTGCATGAGGACTGTGCCCGTGGGGGGCGTGGTGAAGAGTGTGTCGTGGAACCCCAACCCCACCATCTGCCTGGTGGCCGTGGCTGTGTAAGTGCGAGGCTGGGTGGGGAAAGGGGGTGGGCAGCAGGGACTGCCTGTCTGAGTGGCCACACTCGGCTCTGCCTGCAGGGAGGACACGGTGCTGCTGTTGAACCCAGCCCTGGGGGACCGGCTGGTAGTGGGCAGCACGGACCAGCTGCTGGGCACCTTCACCCCACCTGAGGAACCTGCCCTGCAGCCCGCCCGCTGGCTGGAAGCCTCAGAGGAGGAGCGCCAGGGGGGCTTGAGGCTGCGCATCTGCCACAGCCACGTGTGGGGCATGGGAGGATGAGGGGCGTGGGGTGTGGGGTTGTGGGGGGCAGAGGAGGGCCTGCTCAGCCAACCTCACCTCCTGCAGCCGGTGACCCAGGTGACCTGGCATGGGCGTGGGGACTACATGGCCGTGGTGCTGGCCACCCAGGGCCACACCCAAGTGCTGATCCACCAGCTGAGCCGCCGCCGCAGCCAGAGCCCCTTCCGCCGCAGCCACGGGCAGGTACAGCGCGTGGCCTTCCACCCCGTCCGGCCCTTCCTGCTGGTGGCCTCCCAGCGCAGCGTCCGCTTGTACCACCTGCTGCGCCAGGAGCTCACCAAGAAGCTGATGCCCAACTGCAAGTGGGTGTCCAGCATGGCTGTGCACCCTGCAGGTGAGGGGTGTGGGGCATGGGGGACGCACCCTTTGGGTGGCATGACCAGGCACCAGGTTCCCACCTCCATGTCTGCTCCCAGGTGACAACCTCATCTGCGGCAGCTACGACAGCAAGCTGGTGTGGTTTGACCTGGACCTTTCCACCAAGCCTTACCGAGTGCTGAGGTGAGGCCCTGTGCTCGCGTGTGCGTGTGTATGCGTGCATGAGCGGGAGGCTGTCATCCGCTGGGCCGTCCCCCACACCCCCTTCCCTGGCCTGCCCTCAATCAGGTCCCCTTTCCAGGCACCACAAGAAGGCCCTGCGGGCAGTGGCCTTCCACCCCCGGTATCCGCTCTTTGCATCCGGCTCTGACGACGGCAGTGTCATTGTCTGCCATGGGATGGTGTACAAGTGAGTGCTGACGACGGTCTCCCCAGGGGACTGCCCCCCAGGGGACTGCCCCTGTCTGAACCCTCCCCTCTCCCACAGTGACCTGCTGCAGAACCCCCTGCTGGTGCCGGTGAAGGTGCTGAGGGGACACACGCTGACCCGAGACCTGGGCGTGCTGGATGTTGCTTTCCACCCCACCCAGCCGTGGGTCTTCTCCGCAGGGGCCGATGGCACCATCCGCCTCTTCTCCTAGAAGCCCTGCCGGTGCCGGTTCCACCCGGCACCAGCTCAGAACCCTCAATAGAGATGCTTCTCCCCGGACCGGTGGTGTGGCCTTGCATTTGAGTTCCTGACTAGCGACCCCCACGCCTCACACAGTCTTCCCAGGGGGGGACCAGCTGGCCTGTCCCACAAGGAAAAGCCACACATCGCACCCCTGGTCACCTGCTGAGGCGTGAACAGCTTTATTGGAAGCGGGGGGCGGGGCGGGGGGTGCACAGACTGCCCGCCCTGCTTGGTCCCGTGTGGCCGGGGCAGGCGCTCTGAGGCCCAGGCCAGCCCTGGCGGTGCTGCTTGTCGGGGCAGCACGCCGGAGCCTCAGGCGAACTTCACCAGGCGGCCCAGAGTCTCCGCAGCTTTCACTCGCACCTTGGGGGCTGGGTCCTTGAGTAGGAGCTGCAGGGCTGGGGGACAGGGAGCTACATTGGGGCGCCTCCGTGGCCCTTCAAGAACTGACTCTGAGCCAGGGACCCACTCAGGCAGTGCTAGGACTTGTCCCACCCCCTTCCTGGCGCAGGACCCCATGGAGCCCTCCCCACCCGGTGCGTGGGGCCACCCGCCTACCACCCTCCTAAGACAAGCCTCTGCTGGGAGGGATCAGGAGCCAACGGAAAGATAGTTTTTCCTTTTTTAGTGTTTTTTAAGCTCTTTTGGAACAGTTAAGAAGTTTCCGTGAATTACTAGAGACGATGAGGTCACCAGTGACAGGGAAAAAATCCTTGAAATCCAGGAAAATCACTTAGTCCCCCCTGGTGCCCACAGGGTCAGTGGGAGCCCTGTGCAGCCAGACAGGTGGGGGTGGCAGGGGGCCCCTGGGCCCTAACCTGGCGGGGGAGGGGGTGCTGCTCACCGGCAGTGAGCTGTTCCAGGTCCACCTGCGACTGCTGCTGGGGCTCCACATGCAGCACCAGGAACCCTGTGGGCAGGGGCTGGGGTCAGGGGGAGGAGCAGGCTCTGGGGAGGGGCAGAGAGGACGACACCCACCTGTGAGCATGGGGGCAGCCGCTCGGACGTCCTCCCAGCTGCTCTTGAAGTAGAACAGGCTGGTGCTCACCAGGCGGCCCAGCAGGTCCGGGAAGTAGCACATCTGCAGAGGCCGGCCAGCCAGTCAGGCGCACCCCACACGGTCACACCCACGCAGTTCACACCTCCCACCCCCACCCCCTCACCAGGTGCTTGCAGGCGGCATTGAGGAACTCCCCAAAGTGCAGGCCATGGCCGTCCTGCAGGTGCTTCTGGAAGACGTCGGCCAGCTCCTCACACTCCAGGTTGGGGCCGCACATGCGCAGGGCAAACCTGCAGGCCTGCGGGGCAGCACTCAGTGTCCTGCCCATCCCAGCCCCACCTGGCTCTCCCCTCCCCTGCCGGCCACTCACAGCAGCCACAGAGGCCTGGGGGTCCCGCAGATGCAGCAGCAGGGGCACCAGCCCCCCCACCACCTGCTCCAGGAAGACGTCCTCACAGGACCCATGGCAGGCCTTGTTGAGGTGCCCAAAGAGGCGAATGGACACAGAGCGGAACTCCATCTTCTCCTGCGGGGACATAGGTGTCACCCCCGGGCACTCTCAGCCCTGCCAACCACAGCACCGAGCCCTGGGCCCTTCCCCTCCACATCCTTGTCCTTGTGCTGTGGGTGCTGCCCGGCTGCCAGGGGCCTGACGGGCGGACACCGGGAGCAGAGGTGGGGCCATGCCAGCAGAACATAGGGCCTCCCAGGCCACATCCACGCTCTGGGAGGGAGCCAGGGTGACCCAGGGAGCAGGTGGGGCAGGAGATGAAGCTCAAGAGGCAGGAGGGCCGGGAGCAGGTGCCTGGCTGGGAGTGGGTTCCCTCCCCGTCCCCGCCCACCTACACTGTCGAAGAAGGGCCGGATACGGATGGCCGTGTGCAGCAGCACCGCGCGCAGGTCCTCGGGCTCCACCAGGCCCAGCAGCTTGGCCAGGCCTGCCATGGCCTCCAGGGCCACCAGGCTGTGCGGGCCGTCCCCGTCGTCCAGCCCGCTGATCATGGCTGTCAGGAGCTGGGGGCCGTGGGCCCGCACCTGGGGACGCCCTGCACTCAGCTGTGTCCCCAGGTCACCAAGCCCCGAGGCCTGTCACACAGTTCACAGAATCTCTAGACCCCGTGCACCAGGCAGTCTCCACACACACCCCCCACATCTGCCTGGGTCTCCCGGACCACAGCTCCACTGTCCCTCAGTCGACCCCAGGGGCTGGCGGGCAACTCACCTTATCGGGGGAGCCGGAGGCGAGGTTGGCCAGGCCGCGGAGCACCAGCCGCCGCACACTGGCACACGGGTCCTTCTGCCGGGCGGCCAGGTTGTCCAGCAGCGACTCCAGGAGCATCAGGTCATTCACTACATTGCTGGTGAGCAGCTGGAGGCAGGGGAGCGTGACCTCTTCCCAGGGCCTCACTCCCTGGCCTGACCCTTCAGGGCTGCACCAAGCACCCAACAGCTCCCTCCCCAACGCTCCCCAGTACACTGGGCAGCCGAGTCCCAGGCCACTGTGAGATGGATGCTGCAAAGGTCAGCTAAGGGCCAAGCTAGGCTAAAGGCCTCCCCTTGTCCTCCTGCCCACCTTCTGGCTCCAGCCCACCCGGCCCCATGGCGTGGCCTGGGCAAGTTGTCAGCACTGTTGGTGCTACTGGCACAGAGCAGGGGTGGCACCAGGCGTGGCCCTGCGGGCTGGGCAAAGCCAGGTCAGTGCCAGCCTGTGGGGGCTGCCCTCCCTACAGGGCCCTGGTAGCCATCAGAGCAAGCAGCACCTACCTCGGCCAGGAAGGCTGTGGAGGTGACCCTCTGGGCCTCGTACACACTGCTCTGTGCGCCCAGCAGCGCCTTCATCACCAGGGGCAGCCGGGGGCCTGCAAACTTTGCCATGGCACTGGGGGAGGAGGCCATGCCATGCAACGGTGGGGTTGGGCCAACCCGGAGCCCATCCTAGGCCAACTCTCCCATGGAATGGGGGAGGCCTCTTCCACATCAGAGCCCTCGGTCCCATGAACCTGTGCCCCCTGCCAGGTTCTTCCTACCCTCCCACTCAGACATGCCCCTCCTAGCCACCTCACCAGGCTCCATGGGGGCTCCTCTCCCCAACCTGATGTGCACAGCTGTCTTTATGCTTCCCCATCCCCACCCCCACCCCGCACGGGTGCAGCCCTCAGGGGTACCTGCTCTCAGGCTGAGCACTCAGGAAGCTCTACCACTAGGGGGCCTCACGGGTGCCTCCCTGTGGGTCCCAGGGCCCCTAGCCATTGCCTCAACAGGGGCTGCCCACAGTGCTCACCTGGCTAGCCGGGCCACTCCATCCTCATGCCCTGCGGAGGTGCTCAGCAGTTCCCAGGCTCCCTCCAGCTCCACACGCTGCACCACGTCCTCGCTGCCGCCCCGCAGCAGCACGGCCCGCAGAGCATCCACTGCAGTGCTGGGGGGACAGGCAGCTGCACTCAGCCTGCACCCACACACGTATACAAGTCCCAGGGCTGTGCAGCCCACACCCCGCCAGCTCCCCCTCCCCACTAGGCACAGCCAGGCGGCTCAGGTCCTCAGTGAAAACTGCTGCCCCCCACTCCTGAGCCTGGACCCTCAGAGTTGTTCCTGCACCTCAAGCCTTGTCTTTCCCATGTGCACAGCCTTCCCCCTCAGGGGCCCCCACATCCTGCAGGAAGGGGCAACAGTTAGAGCCCAGTCCACTCCCAGGTATCAGCTGGGCTGCTGTGCAAGTGATGGAGAGAACCTGCTTGCTCTGAGGACACATGGCCGCCAGGAGCCGGAGCAGCTCCTAGGAAATGCCCAGTGCTGTCCACCCGCTTGGCCAGTCGGCAGATGGTAGGTGTGGGCCTTACCTGCTGTCCCAACCAGAGCCCCGCAGGAGGGACAGGCCCACAGGGCCCGGCTGGAATCTACTGTCGTCCCTCTTGCTGGGATAAGCCCCCAGCTCAGGCAGAAGCGTTCAGTTCAGGGTCGGGGGAGAGCAGGGGGCCTGCACCTGCAGAGCCTCCCAGTAAAGCCTGTGATCCACAGGCAGCTTGGCAGGGTCCTCAGAACCACACAGGGAGCCCCTCCTCCCACTCTGACCCCTCCCCTGCACAGTGGTCCCTCACACTGGCCCGCGGAGGTGTGTCTAAGAGGCACCCTCCCTGGGAGCTCCTGGCCTAAGGGCAGGCACCCACCCAGGGGCCAGCGGAGAGAAAGCACTGGAAGGCGACTCCTGCTCTCCCCTTTGCTGTCCCTGGAGCCTGGAGTCCAGTGGAGCCCAGTCATGGGTGGGGCCTCCCTCACCGGCCACCAGGGTCACTGGGCAGACGCAGGGCCAGCCCCTCACCCTGCTCCAGGCTGAGACCAGCGCTCTGGGCAGCTCTCGGCTGCAACAAATGAAGGCGTCGGTCTGGCCTGGGAGGATGTGGACAATTTCAGGGAGGGTGCCTCCCTGCCGGTGCCTGCTGCCCGGAATTTCTGTGGATGTGGCATTTGCAAGGGTCTGACTCCCAGGCTGACAGCCTCCATCAGAGCCAAGACCTGTGCCTGGCTCTGCTCCTGTCCCAGCTCAGGGGTGGCAGCCCAGGGGCCCCTGGGGTGGGGTGTGTGGCCTGCAGCCTGCAGCCCCCACAGCTCCCAGCCGTGGGGCAGCGTCCGGCGTGCCAGGCCCTGAGCTCGCTGGGTTAGTGTCCTCTGGTCCGTTCACATTTTCCACTTGGCCTTGCTGAGCTGGGCAGGCCCTGGCACACAGCCTCTGCGAGGCTTTACGAGCTGGTCCTGTGGCAGAGCAGCCTGCAGTGGGGGCAGGGTGGTGACACTGTTCCCGTGCGCCCCAGCCAAGGGGCACATCCAACCCGACACCTGGGACGCATAAGGAGGTGGCCCGGGCTCCCGGCCACTCAGCTCCGTGCTCACCTTGTGGCCCAAGGTAGCTGTTTGGAGCCCTGAGGGGCCACTGTGTTGGGCCTGGTAGTGGCCTCAGGGACCAAGACGGGCAGGCAGACACCCAGACTGCTGAGCTCAGTGACCCACCCTCAGCGAGCAGCCTGACCTCGCCTGTGCCCAGTCTCCTGCCAGGGCCAACGCCTTCTCGGCAGAGACCACAGGACCCGCGGCCCATGCAAGGGGGTGGGAAGCGGCTGCACAAGCTGAAGCTGGGGGCAGCCAGGCTCCTGCAGAGCTTCTGCTGGAGGGGGGTGGGGGGCGGAGGACGGGGCTGAAAAGGCTGTGCTGGAGGAGTGGCTTCCTGCAGGCCCCACAGCACCCCAAACCCTTCCCGAAGGAGGCGCCCTCTGCACCTGCCTGCCGGTCCCCAGGGACTGCAGCGCATCCCAGACAGTCCCCATCCCAAGCTTTTCCGAGGAGAGGAGGAGGGACAGCCTGGAAGCTGCATTCCCAGGACAGTGTGTCACCAGGGAGACACGGCTCCCAGGCACAAGCTCTCCCCCGCGGCCTGGCGCGCGCACACACCAGGGCACCCCAGTGCGGCGCGCTCACCATGCGCTCTGTGCTCACAGGAAGCGCTTGGGCAGGAGCTGAGGACCTGTTACCTGCAGGGATCGAGGGTCCTGGAGGCCAGCGCTGAGCTGCTGGCCCTCCGCTCCTTGGCCTGCAGGTTCCGGGGCAGCTGGACGCCCACCGTGCAGCTGACACGCAGCAGCAGCCCAGCAAACAGCTGGGGGTAGAGCTCGGTCACCGCAGGCCCAGACGCCGGAGCAGACATGACCTCGTGCAGCGCGCAGGTGGCCTGGGGACAGCGGCCACCTCAGGCTCACCCTCCCTTTGGGCCCCATATAACGAGTGGAGGGTGGCCACTACAAAGGCTGGGGCCTGACGCCTAGGACCCAGACTAGCCCACCAGAGGTCGGGGGTGTGCGGGGACCCAAGGGCTGCCCAGCTGGGCCCTTGGGGTGGGAGGAGGCTCAGGAGCCGTGTGCCCACCCGGGCACGGCCCCCCGACCATCTGCTCTTGACTCCTCAGCAGAGAAGAGGGAACTCACAGCTGCTTTACTGTTGAAATCGCTGCCCAGCCAGGTTTGTTTTTTCCGAAGGATGAAACAGAGTGGTCTCCCTTGGGGACCAACACCTGTGGGGTCTTTACGAGGCTGGGCTCTGCTTGCTGGCTCTGGGGCCCCAGGCAGCTGCCAGGTGCCTTGGCGGGCGGTGCCCAGACCACCTGTGGGTCAGCCCACCAGTGAGCCAGGGAGGAGCAGGGAGCGGGCGGGCACTCACCGCCAGGGGCAGC